TTATTATTTATATATTTATTTGATTGTAAACATTTTGACATTTCTTCTATTCTATATCTATATACATCTCTGCTAGAATTGAAACAGTTTTCCATAGCACCGCATTGTGCAGCTGACTTAGACTATTTACGTTGCTTTCTGAAAGGTAACGAATACAATTTGTGTTTATGCTAACCAAGTTGTGTGAGAGTTAACAACGGCTAGTTCGATAGATATCCGAGTGGGCTCCAACTAATCTGATAATAATTGAGACCATCTCACGCACAAATTCCTGCCGAACAAGTGGAGCAGAGCAGCAGCACACCTCTCTCTCTCTCTCTCTCTCGTTCCCTCCCTTGTTTACTAATGATGTTGCATGGCATTACACACACACACACACACACACACTTACAACTGATCAATAAATATTGACTGGGGCTCCAAGGGTTCCCCCGTTTACCGTTTACTAGAGACTACACCGCAGCTAACTTATGTCACTCGATTAAAATGTTTTATTGTTGTTGTTCTTAGCTAATAATATTTAACAGTAACGAAAATGCTAGGTGCTCTGGCGAACCATTAATTAAACTATTCTCTATTGTGGCATTCACAGTGACCCGCCTGAGGGAGCATTGGGATGAGACGTCACAGTGCGTTCTGCAGCGAGCGGCGCAGCTGAAGAGCATGCTGAGCGATTCGCAGCGGTAGGTTATCCGTTAGCCCGCTTTGGGGTCAATCCAATTAATAGCTTCCTTCCGATTGGCAGGTTTGAGGCCAAGCGCGTCGAGTTGGAAATGTGGTTGGCGCGCATGGAGCAGCGAGCCGAGCGAATGGGCACCGTGGCCACCACAGCAGACATACTGGAGGCCCAGCAGAAGGAGCAGAAGGTGACTTGTGGTGGCTGGCTGGCTTAGCTGCCATGGATTGCATAAATTAATCTATTCCCTTTATATATCCGTAGTCCTTCCACGCCGAGCTGCATCAGAATAAGCAGCACTTCGACCTCTTCAGCGAGCTGACGCAGAAACTAATTGCAGTCTATCCAAACGATGATACTTCCAGAGTTAAGAAGATGACGGAGTCCATTAATCAACGGTGAGTGTCTATTGAAATCGTGCAGCGACTCTGTCGAGCCAAATGAAATGCGAAAATGCAAATAGTTGCGCGCTTTCAATTCCGAGCACCTGTGCGATTTGCGTGTAATGCGAATTAATGACTTGCACTTGCCAAGCCTCGGCATTATAAACACAAATAAAATAAATCAGAGCAGGTGCAGGTGCACCCATTGAAAAAATCCTTAAATTCTTAGACAATACTCAATCTATAGAACTCTTAGCTGTTGAAAGAGCTTTAATATGCAAAGGAGAAGTAAGAGCGTAGAAGAATATTTGTAACTTTTTCAAGAAAGTTGTTTATTTTGTCTTAGAATATATATTTATTCTGTTTAAGAATAACTAAACTCTGAACATAAATTTAAATCAATAAAACTCTTTAGAGTAGGAACGTTGACTATTGTGACTAGCATTTGGACCGTAGGGAAAATTCGATGTTAGTGAATTCCTCATAAATTCATTAAAACTTTCGAAAGACATTCTAGTTAGACAAATTAACCATATAAAATATTCACGTTCTATATAATTATCAATAAATCATAATACATAGATCATTTAAAACCTTCCAATTTTGAAGTTTAAAAAAATATATGAACATACATACGTAGTATATTGCTAAAAATGAACGAAAGCCCAATCAAGTTTTATATAGACTTAAATCAATTAACCTTTCCAAAGTAAAAGATTGTTTTCTATTCTGTATAGTATGTATAGTAAAAATTATAATATTAACAATATCTTAAAGCTTCAATAAAGAGTCAAATAATATGCGTCTGTTTTATAAAATTAATAATAGACAACACTAAATATAGCATATAATACATTCATCTCTCTTTATTAATATATTTACTTCCGATTCTTCTTTCAGCTATACTAACTTGAATAATGGTGTAATCAACCGAGGCAAACTACTTCACGCCGCTGTGCAAGATCTGCAGTCGTTCGATCGTAAAATGGATCAGGTTAGCAATCATATCGAATCATATGATATCACATTTCTCTAATTGATTCTCTGTTCTCTGGCAGTTTCTCGCTTTTCTCTCGGAAACGGAAACCCTTTGTGAAAATGCTGAATCGGACATTGATCGCAATCCGATGATGTTTAAGGTAAGTGCATTTAAGCATTTTCCCTATTCGAATGTTCCCCTCATATGAATACACCGCTGTCTTTGTATCGCATTTAACCTGACCTCAAGTGAAAGATATACGCATAGCAAGAGTGCATTACTTCAGTCTCTGGTGCATTGACCGGTCTCACCAGAGAATGTTTGTAAGTGTACTGAGTGTGTATAGTGGATAAAAATGTATGCAGTCTACTCAAAATTGGATTTATGTGAGAAATACGCTATGTAAAAAAAACTATGTATTCAATTGTTAAAAATATATTTAAGGTGAGAAAAAATTCTCAAATTTTGAGTTTTTCAAGACTCTTAAATTTTCTTATTTATATATTTTTAAAATGCATATTATTATATTTCTTACGATGATTAACTGAATAGGGTTTTTTAAAAATATGAAAAGTGGAAAAAGACTTCCCATTAATCGAAGAGGCAAAAGAAAAAGGTTTTTGCATTTAGTTTCCTTAAACTCTGAGGGAATGCAAAACTTCATATTACCCACTTCTTTATACATATTTTTATATTGATTTATTAAAGTTAGCAGCTAAATATCTCTATATACGATAACAATATATTGCCTACAAATGATCTATCTGCTCTTCGGACTTCATAAATTCTGCGCGTGTTTATTTAGTTTTCAGTTTATTTAGCATTTTGTGATCTATGAGCACGATCTTTGTTTTGGGCTGTACGCAGAGAATTAATTGCAATTTTCCCAAAAGAGTTTTTCCTCCCCGTTGTATCAGATCTAATTGACCCGCATTTGAGGCGCTCGCTCGTTCGACTGTCTATCTGTCTCTCTCTCTCTCTATCTCTCTCTTCGGCTTTATCAGCTAATTTTCTTTAAGTATTTCCAATTTTCATTTGCCGCATGACCATGAAACATGCAATCAATTTGTGATATCTGATCGAAGCTCAAGTGCTCAGCCCCATCAGCCGATGATGCAGATCCACTCGAATTCGCTTACTTTGTGGACTTGCTTTGATGACCGGCACGGATTGGAATGAATCGAGTTGTGTGCTCGGCCACTTAATGTCTCAATGGCATTTGCAACCCGGATTGCCATTGCAGCCTCAAATAGGCTGCATGCCACAAACACACTCACAGACACACACACACACACAGAAACAGCCAGTCAACATAGGCTGCCCTCTTCAATCCTATTTGCCTGTGTGGCTCGACACTTCTCAACGACACCAGAGCACCGCCTCAGCCTCAGCCTCCACCCACGCAGCATTCGAAAGTGCGGCGCGTTCTTCAAGTGCTGCGTGGCGTCTGTCTGTTTGAATGTTTGTGTTTCTTGCCTGGGTTACTGGCCGCCGTGCAGCAGCAGCAGCATCACCATCATCATCATCCCCAACTTAATGATCATCAGCTCGCTTTAGACTGTGCTGCATGTGGCCGCCCTCCACTTTCCTATTATAATCATGCACTCACCCATTTGAGCCAATTACTGTAAATGCGTTTTCTTTTCACTTTTCACTTTTCTTTTCTTTCAACTTCTTGATCAAATTTGTGGAGCATAGAACTTAAATGAGTTCTTTATGTTTTTTGTTTACCATATTCATTTATAAAGATTCCCTTTTGATACATTGCTTTCCCATATATTTAACTGAAGAAAACGAACCAGTATTTATATATATTTGAGTGGACTTTAGTCTTTCATATGACCAAAAATAACTGTAATGTGCTTTTATTCATTTCATCAAACCTGCAAAAGTTTTGGCCTCGCAGCTTGTTACACATTTATCCTTGTACAAAATCCAATGGTAAAAGCTTTAACTAAGCTTTAGCCTAGTTTGTACTCTGAGCTTGAGCTTTATTTTCCCAAAAGCGTTTTACATGTGTAGCTTTTGTGTTGGCAATGCTGAATTGGACTGAGGCAATTTGTTGTCAGATGCCTCATTATTAGGCTGAAAGGGGTGTATAGGCTGGCTTACAAAATTAAAATTATTTAATATCGAAAAACAATATTTTCTTTTATTAAAAATATATACATTTAATTTTTGCTTGAGCTTAAAATACATTTCATAAAAGTCGTTGCTATTATTAAAGTTAAAAATAAAATCAAAATTTCTAAACATTCGACTATTACAGGGGATCTTCCAGTTTGGCATGTAAATCTGCCCTTAGTTCTTTTCGTATTTTGCCGGCAAATACCGTTATATTTACCGGCTGCCTGCCGTGTAGACTGTGAGAGAGCGCGCGCCCGAAAAGTCTCCACTCCACAGAGCAGACTCTCGGCCTCTGTTTTCGTTTTCGTTTTCGTTTTCGTTCTCTGTTTTTGTTATCTCGGCACATGCCGACGACGACGGCAGCCGAGTGGCGCTATTTTGGATAGCTTGCCAGCTGGTGCCGCTGTCGCTGCGTTGGATGCTGTGACTGTTGGCGTCGACAGCGCTGCTGCGAGCGTTGCTTCGCACTTGCCGTTGCTCTTCGTCAGTTCAGTTCGTGTTCTGAGATGCGTCCGTACGCGCGTTGATAACGGTCGCAAGGCGCTGATTTGTTTAACCCGGCTTGTAAACAATTCCAAAATTCATTCAAAAACCTGAACAGGATTTGCGAATTTTCGAATTGAGTGATATATTGAATTACTCAATTATATATATATATAGATCTAAATATATATAAATGATAAAGAGAAACAGTTGTTGTGTCAAGTGTAAATTAAGGGATAAAGTAAATCAGTTTACCATATAATTTGTCTTTGCATACCTATAGGCGTGCACTCACACACACATACTCGCATGCATTGCGGAACACCCGCAGATGCATGCGCCCGCAGACATGCAAGCGCACATTTATGTGCTGCATGCGCACACATGCAAATTGAATCCCACCATGCAACAATTAATCGCAAATCTTTGCTTAAAGCAACGCACGGAAAAGGCGGCACAGCCGTCGCCATTATGTGTCTGTGTGTGTGCATGTGTTTGTGTGTGTGTGTGTGTGCATTTTAAAGTGAAATGTGCATTAATTATGCACACATATTCCAGGCCTGCTTCCGCTGGCCAAGCGAACTAAGTGAGATTGAAATTGAAATTTGTGCAACATAAAAAGTTTTGTTGAGTGCCAAAGAAACTGCAAAATGTTTCCAATCCGAATTAAAACAATTGTTTTAATTGTAATGCAAACGTGTTTGATCATGTTTCATTTGTGCTGCAAAAACTGCAAAAAACATTCTGCGTCCAAATACCAATCGATCAAAGTTGTGCGAGCTATAAATTAAATTAAATTAAATTAAAATAGTTAATGAATTTATTGAAGTGAATAAAAGTTTCTGCTCATGTGAATTGTGTATCAAAATATATGCATATAAAGTATTTTATGTTAATAATATTTCACTTTTATTGTGTTTTTAGTGCTTGTACATTGTCAGCAAGTTGAGTTTGTCTACGAGATTCTTATCATAGGCATCATGTGTGCAATTTTTAAGATATGGAATTTCGCTTTTAGATAACTGCTTTATCTTTGTCTACTCAGCATCATATTATCTTTTATTTTCATTATTATTAACATCAGTCTGAGAGTGTGGGCCATAAAATATTTTAGTCTACATTGCTTGTAGTTACTATTGTAAAGCTCAAGTTGAATGCACTTTGTCTGGAATTTTAATGCTCAGCCTCAAATGAATAAATAATATATGTAATAATATAATATAATATATTTTTCGCTTTAATAGTTTATTTGTGCGCACAAGCACTCCATGTCCCCCTCAAACACGAAACAACAACTTCAACATCATTAAACACTCCACACAAATATGTAAAGCCATTAATAACCGGTAGCAAGCACTTGAGCTGAGCCACAATAGGAACAGATTCGATCCCTCGGATGATGAGAGACTTTCAACTTCAACTTCAACTTCGACTTCAACTTTGAMAACCAAGGCCCAACCCAAGTTAGGCTATCGAATGCGATTATTAATCAAATGACAACACAATCGACACAGTCTCGTGTCGTCGAGACCCAATTTCATTCATAAAAAGATTTCCGCACTTTCCAAAAAGTTTTCGTTTACACGATTTTCCCGTCAGCGCGCGCATTAAGTCTAGAAAATATGCAGGCCCTCTGAGAGCTTGGCCGATACGCGGCTTGGTCAATAACAAATGTCAAACATGCGTTTGCTTGAGCTCTCCGAGTCGAGTTGTCTCCGACCACTGGCCGCGTGTGTGGGGCATGTTTACGTTTACCTGTTGACGCTTGTGGCGTCGCAACGCGTCGGCGGCAGCGGTCGCGGCGGTGGTGGTGGCGGTCGCGGCGGCGGCGGTGGCGGTGGCAGCGGTGTCGACGAAAGACACAAAAAGCAACAAGTAACCAAAACAAGTTCACAAACAAACCAAGTCAAAAGATTTAACAACAAGCGGCGACAAATTTGTATTACAAGGCGAAACATAAATACGCTCACTCTGACAGAATGTTGAGAAAGAAAAAGAAATGAAAAAAATTTGATAGGAAATTTGTCAAAATATCATAATACAAGTCTATATATGATAAAATTTCTAGTCAAATGTATCTAATTATAACATTTTCTGTCTTAAGAAATTCCTAATTTTCTAATTATTGAAATGGATTACATTGCAGACAGAAGAAATCTGTTGTAAGCCTTTGTATCTCTTGTCTAGATTTTGCATCTCTAGCCAGCTGCATGTTCCGTTGCTTGTGCTTGGTGTGCAAAGAACTAAGATTCAGAACTGGTAACTATAGATCATAGAATAGAATAGAAGACAATAATATTCATAATACTAGACTTATGCTTGTACTCGTTGGGCAAGATATTTTTATACAAAATCCTTTATAGTAATATTTACCTATCGATATTTGTTTGCATATCGATATTGGAAATTAATTTTACCGTTACACTATATCCCTTTTAAAACTCTTAAATGTATATTCGTTATACGTTTTTTGCTGCCACTTTTTGCTGCTGTCTCTCTCTTCTCTCTATCTCTTTTTTGTCAACAGAGAGAGTTTTAAAAGATTTTCAG